AAAGGGAATTAAAACAACGATATTATTATAAATCATGACCAATAGAAATTGAAATAGTAGGAAATAATCAAGGTCTAAGTTTTGCTGCTCTGACTAATTGTTTAAGCTGGAACTTGGAGGTGAAGGGTATGTAAAATGCAAGGTTTTTTCTTGTTATCAACAATTACAAAGACCCCTTTTGCTCTAATTTCATTTCATTTATGGTAAATATCAATGAAGCAAATGTGATAATCAACAAGCAAAGACATTTACACAGAAACTAATGGTGGGAAGTTTTCTTTTCATCCAGTGTTGACATATCCTCTTTGACAGAAAAGCTGGCTACCGTCCCTGAGGTCCTACGTTTAAGAAGGGAGGAGTAAATCCTATCCGTTGGGTATTTAGGCCACTTATTCTCCCATAAAACAGGCTTTCAAAAATTTCCTCCACTTAACCTGTTTTCCCCCAAAATACAATTTCTGTAAGGACAAATGGAAGAAATGCCCCGACATAGCGGGCAGGAGATAGAATTCAACAAAGACATAAAATGACAGTTCATTCTTTAAATGATTGAAATATCAACAATGCCAGTGAAAAATCACTTTAATAGCACCATTTGGCTACATGACCTGTCACTAGCAGGAACTCTAGGCAACTTAACTTTGGTGCACAAAGTGATTGTTTCACCTCATACTGCCTACACGGGAACTCCCCACTTCTCAGGGGAAACAAAAGGCAAAACAAACACTATATGCTCCGATTTTGTGGGAGCTACACATCAAACACATAAAAAATATGCCTTCTGCAAATAATGAGCTATAAAAAATACAATTATACCCTTCAGAAGAAAGCAGAATGCCCTGAAGAAAGATTTGAAGGCCCTTGCGGCAGTTGCACTTATGCACATAATGAATCCAAACCAGTGAAAACCTGGTTCACCCTGCCACAAAATTCATTAACCAAATAAGTTCTTAAAAAGAAATAAAGGTACTGTAGAACTGCTGAAAGTGCTTAGATTTTGAAGAACAGATTGAAGGCCCTTGCGGCAGTTGCACTTATGCACATAATGAATCCAAACCAGTGAAAACCTGGTTCACCCTGCCACAAAATTCATTAACCAAATAAGTTCTTAAAAAGAAATAAAGGTACTGTAGAACTGCTGAAAGTTGCTTAGATTTTTGTCTCTTTCCATGTTAACAAATCAAGATTTGAATGACAGGGTTTTCAAGAAAAGTTCATTTTCCTCGTATTTTTTTAGCATGAACTGATGACAAGTAGCAAAGAGCACACAACTTATTTTGGAAACTTGACTAAACACATTAATAAAGGACTTTGGAATGAAGCATTGATTAGTGTATTTAAACATTAAGGTAATTTCATTCTGGAGTAGCCAACATAGGCAACAGCTATGCTAACAGAAAAGTATGACTATGAGCACTAAACTTGCCTTTGCCTCCAAAAAACAGTTTAGTGTTGTCCACAGTGAGCCTATTTACTTCTGTATCTTTTTTTTTTCCTTTGCAGAAGATTGGAAGGAGGGAGACAGGTGTGTGGAACAACTAAAAAATGTTGCAACAATAAGTTCTACTAGATCAATAGTCAATTATACTTCATAGAAATCATTGCTGGTAAACAGAATGGAGGCCTCTAGCCTGTTTGCTTGATTATTCCTTCTTGCTATTCGTTTCCTCCTCTAGAAATATAAAATCTCAAACTAGTTTGCTTGTATGATCTACGAATCTCAAGCTACACAGTGGATAGGGCTAATCACTATGCAGTCAATATCTCTAATAAATATACTTCGCTCCTGATTATGTCAAAACTTCTATCAAAAAGGAAGTAATTTACACCTTCACTGCACACCTACTGCAGAATATCATAATCATATTGAATTACCCTCTGAATGGCTTAGTGCAGGAAAAATTTTACAGTTAAAGTTCTCGGCCTAAGTAAATACGATAAGACTATATCTATAGTTATTATCACAAGGGCGTAAAAAACCATCCTCAAACATATACACATTAAACAAGTGCAATCCATAACTGAGTTCTGTGACACCACCTGCGTAACTTAAGCATAACCTCACCAACATCCACTTTTACTTCAGATTGAATAAATTTCTATAGTTTCAAGATATCCAGCTTCCTAGTTGCAACTTGATGCTGACAACAACAAATGTAAAAGCTACAAATATTTTGCTGGTTCTAATTGCTTCAACTTCTGAAAATAATTAATCATCTATGACAATATGGGATTATTGATAAAAACATTGACTAACGCATTACCATTGTTAATCTGTCGCAGTTTTATTATACACTCATGATTTATGCAGTCAGAGGTCAAGACATACATTCACAGCTAATTCTCATGGCCAAATAACATTAAATCAATTTCAGATCTATAATCTAATCACCTCATACACATTACAAAAAAACATAATTATGTAAATAATCTCTAACCAAAAATAAAAATAGAAACTTTCGTCTTAACACCAAAAGATCCAAAAAGGAGGATAAAGAAAAACATACCCCGCTAGCAATGACAACCCCAGCAACAACAGGTACAAGAGCAGCATAAGTAAACCAAGCTTCTCTCTTGAAAGTCATCAGGTAAGCAAACAAGGCAGTGAAAAAGGGTGTGGTAGCACCAACAGCCTGGTTAAAAGACACAGGGAGGTATCTTAAAGAAATGTTACCTCCAACAACTGAACCACAAAAGACAACACTTAAAGCTGCAATCTTTAAGAACTGGGGCCTGGATTTGATAGGTTGGGAAGGGACAAGTTTCATGAAAACAACAGAGATGTAACTGAGAAAAGCACAAGCTGACATGTGACACATTGTTAAGAAGATTGGGAATCTGAAATCATAGTTGGAAAGTAAGAATTTATTTAAGAGAAGAACTCCAATATTTGCGGAGTACCATAGGATTATAAGCGAAGCTATGAAAAGGGTTTGCTTTTTCGTTGACAAAGATGATGATGATTGCTGGGTTGATGACATTTTTGGAAATTTGAAGGGTGGAAGGGAAAAGAGCTGGATCTATTGTTGATGTTAAAGAAGAAGAAACTGTTATTTGAGTTTCAATGGAAATCTTTGATTTTGTTTTTGTAGGTAAACTACATAAATAGCAATAATATTTGAGTAATTTTCTTTTTTATCTAATGTTGTTTTAAAAATAATGATTTGATCAGTGACATTGTTAATTTGTAATAAATCAGTCACCGACCGTTAACAAATATTACTATAAGTAACGAGATGCTGATGTGGCACGTTAAATCAATTGATATTGTACCGTTTTACAATACAAGACAACCATGTTGAAGGGTGTTCATTCGATTAAAATGATGGCCGACCTAACCGAAATACCCTTAATCAAATTAAATAAATTTTTTTCTTTAATCGTTAATCGAATTGAACTTTTTTTTGAAAGTATTAATCGAACCGAATAAATTTTGGTTAATTCGGTTAATTTTCGAATTAATCAAAAAAATTTAGAATTTTAGAATTTAATATTTTTTAATTAAAAAACAGTTTACAATTAATTTAAATAATATCTAATTATAAAAATATCTAATTAATTTGATTCGAACCGATTTAACATTTAACGAATTCCAAAAAAACCTTAACCGTTCCCTTACCGAACTAAATCGGTGGCCGACCGAATTAACTGAACTAATTCGGTCGGTCGATTAATTCGATTAATTCGATTAAAACCGAATTTTGAACACCTTGTTGACCGGTCATTTAACTCCGATCATCAATCTCTAAAAACATCTATTTAAATTTAAATACTTTTTTTTACAAGTTTGACGTGGGGAGAAGATGGAAGAATCCATTTACATGTCACTTTGCAATTGCTAAGGTGGCCACTGTTACTCTTATTTGCAACCTGCCTTTGGTATTGACTCAACTTCTGAGTTCATTTCCACTAGAATATGATCATTCCACAGTTACAAAGTGGCACGTCCCATGGAGTCTTCCGTATTCTCTTCTCCCACATTTGATTCATTTTTTATTTGATAAATTCTTCTCCAACCTTGCAAAATATGATTTGAACTAGGGGTGAGCATTCAATCGAGTCGAGTCAGAAAGTTTCGAGTTGACGAGTCATATTTTATAATTCTAACTTGATTTGAATTGTTTTTGAGCCGAGTCGAGTTTCGAGTTTTCGTTTAAATTTAATTATAATATTTAAATATTATGATATTATTTGATTCTAATTTAAATGATTTTTTATAACTATATATAATACAAATATATATTTCTTCATATTTAATTGCTCAAGCATACATGTTGAATATTCCTAAATAATCTATACGATAGTGTTGGCTTTGTAGTTGTGTTGCGTATTTACTGAGTTCCATTAAGCTCACACTCATTGTTTACTATGTCTATAGGTCCTAAAGGCAATTAGGAGTAGAGCGAAGCAAGTACTATGGTACTTGACAAAATGTAGGATGCAATTATGTTGGAGTTTAGACCTTTTGCTTAATAATTTCTATGATAATATTTATAAATAAATTTTCATAAATTGAATAATGATCATTCTTTGGTTTATAATTTTGTTTTAAATATTACCATATAATTATATCAATATTCATTCAATTAGAAATCTCATTTTATTTTAGAGTTTTGTATCAAATCTGTTTTGAGCTCGGGCTACATCAATTTCGAACTTAGACCATTATGAGTTTGAGTTTTTTTTACTCAAATTTTATCATATTCGTTTTTTTTGAAATTATTTAACACGAATTTCCTCAATCTCAAATTATGAACTCTTTAAATTTGAAATGGTTTGGCTCGAATTTCAATGTGCACCCTAACACTAACGAGTGTGTTTAGAATTTAACTTTTAGAAAGTGCTTTTGGGACCAAGACGTTCACTCATTTACGCTTCTCAAGCAGCTTTTCAATTGCATTTTCAATCACAGCAATGCTAAACTAGCCCTAATTCATTCCTTTTCTTAATTAGGCTTAAACCACCTTCAACTGAGGCAAAAGATTTTGAAAAAAACCTTGAAACTTTCTTCAAGATGAAATAATGCATCAAACGATTATACAAGTCAAAATGTTTAGAGGCACCTTGCCTGCAGAGTCGACAAGAAACATGTAAAAACAATGTATATCATTCAGCTAGAATGTCAATCTTCAAGGACCAAACTCACAATCTCATGGCCTGTTGACGTTGATTGGACGTATTAGCAACAGTGGCCAAACCCAACATATGGCACGCCCGGACTCAAACTAAAGAAATGATGAAAAAGAAAATAAACATGATTCCATAGTAGTATACTGAAGCTCAGGCGCACTCTAAGCATTAGAACCATATTGCCTGAAGCACAAGCTGCAAACTTTCCTAAGACTAATTATTCACATAAGCTGAGATGTATATTCTGACAATAAATCGAAACACATTTTCTCAAAAGTCTAGTTACTATAGAACTACAGGTTACCTGAGTTTTGCTGTCCTAAATCCAAACTTACTCGCATAATTTCTGGTTCTAGGAGAATAGATAACATTTAAACTGAATAGTCAGCACTTCTCAACGTTTACTTTTCACACACTCCAACTTCTGATCAGCCTCCTTAACTGCTTGGACAAGATGGGAAATCCGATACTTGAGTTTTTCATTTTCCATGGTCAGCTGCTTAGCCTACAAGCAACAAGTCAGCATGCTACAAACCCTACTGTTTTCCACAGAATATAAGACAAAGTTTCAACTACCTTTTCTCGCTCTGAAAGCGCCTCAGCATTTGCAACTTCTAACTTTGCCTGTAATTCACTTATTAATGGGAAGGCTCCTGATTTCCTACATCTATATCGCCAACATTTAGTAACCTCATTATAATCTAATTTATGTAAGCATAACCCAGTTGAAAATGGAATACATAAATACATCAACCATTACCTTTATGCCTGCTAGAACGGCTTCTAGTCTGGACAACCGTTCCTTGATACAGAAAGCAAAATAGAAGTAAGCAGAGCACAGAAAGTAATATCAGAAAAGGCTTAAAGTAAAAATAATTCCTTAACTATGCCCCATTTTTGCTTTAAGACCATAAACTATTTTTTGGTTAAAATAAGTCCTTAAACTATTATATGTGATCAGTCTAAGTCCTACCATTTTTTCAGTTAGAAAAATTTTTCAGCCAATGAAATGTGACATGTCACACAAAGGTAGGTACTTGTTGTGACAAAAAAACAGTTTAGGGGATTAAAGAAAAAGGATAATTAGTTTAGGGCTTATTTTGACCAAAAATAGTTTAGGTACTTAAAGTGGTCACATAATAGTTAAGGACTTATTTTGACCAAAAAATAATTTAGGGGCTTAAAGCAAAAAAGAGCACAGTTTAGGTACCTTTTTTTAGTTTAAGCCTATCAAAAAATCCAATGTTTATGAATTGACATTGAAAATAATAATTTAATCACATCCATTCATAGGCGTTTCAAAGGAAACCAAATTCAACAAGTTCTGATTATTCAACAAGGTACAAGTCAGAAACTACATAAAATCACAGGTACGAGCCATAAGGTACTTTCAGGGGTTGAAAATGGACATTGCTAAACAAATAGCTAGGCCAAAAATCCAGTTGTGCACAAATGGAAAGCTATGCAGATTTATTTCAAAAGGGAACATAAATCAGGCCAAGGCAATTTCCATGACTGCTCAAACGATAACAATGGAAGAATTAAACATCTCTAGTAACCCACCGTAAGAATCTAATTAGGGTACGTCCATTGAACGCCATTGCTGGAGAAAATGATGAAGAAATACATTTGACAATTAAAAACGGGGTTCAAACTTCAAACCCAGAAAGAAAAAATGCAGATTAAGAGAATCCTTTATCCAGAATTAGGCAAATACTGAGTTTTATTGGGAAAAAATAAGTTATTTTAACAAGATTACTAATCTATGAGCATTCCGTACCAAAACATAAAGCAAAACTAAAAAAATATGTTCAACGATGAAAAAGAAAAGCGTAAGTAAAAGAATTGCAAACCTCGGCCTCGATAGCTCTCTTGTAGAAGGGCTTGAGGAGCTCTTCACTCGCCATGTTTGGTTTCGTTTAAACTTAAAACTCTGATTTAAACCCTAATTAGTGGTTCTATTCAGAGCATAGTCCACGCTCGTTTTAGTTGCTTCCACGCAGATTAACACTGTTGATTTGTGTGGAAGCAGCAAAATAAAATAAAATAAAAATTGTTATATATATACAAACTAATTTATACCACATGTATTCTAAAAGTAGGACAGATAGTCTCTATTATAATGTATTTTTATTGTGTCTTCAAAAAATATAAAATTGTCATTAAAGTTAATGGAAAATTGCTGTAAGTTTATCTTTTAAAAAAATAACGACGTATGAATTAGAATTAATAAAATTATATAATAATAAATTTAAATTTTACTTTAGTTAGATTATGATATTATTGATAAACATGTAGAACAAAATCTGGACTGTGCCCCACCTATTATTTTTGACATTTGTCTCTTCTTCTTTTTTGTCTTATTAGCATTTCATTTCAATTTACAATACAAGGTTAACTTTAAGGCCGCCACTTCAAAGTAAAAATTTACAAGAAGAATATTGATAAAAATGATTAAGTTACGTTAATAGTTGTATTTGTTTTTGGTCGGATAGACTTTAATCACTAATTTAAAAATTAAGTTAAATGATTTATAATATTATCGATCCGTTTTTTTTAATACCTCCGTTGTTAAATTAAAAATAAATAAAAGGATAAATTCTGCTTAAGTCGTTGACTTTAGTGAAAAACTTGGCCTGCTTACATGGCAAATACGACCGTCGTTCCCTTTGTGTTGTAATCAATTTTAACGTAAAGCTCTTCGTGAGCCAAAGGTGACTCCGTTTTACCACTCTTCTTCGCCTTCGGTTTCTCTTCTCTTACTTTCACCTTCAATTTATTATCTTCTTTTTCGTTTTTCTTCTAGTTTTTGTCGACGATGAAGAAGAAGGCAAATGATGGTTTAAGAAGACAAACGAGTCTTTTTCATTACTACTACATGGGAGCTTCAAATCTTTGAACCTCCAAGCTTGGAGAATCCTGTCGAGTTTCTATCCCCACGTGTCTCATGAGGCTTCCCCCAAGGTCCGGTGAATCTTCCTCGAAAACCTTCCTCACCTGAGGACGTAGAGCGACGTCGCCCTCTTCGATCCTGAGAACGGTGTCGTTTTCGTCGGTAAAGAGGAGCCTTGGTTGAATATCTAATTTTTTAGGGATATTAATTGAAATGGTTCGAGGATTAATAAAAAGAACTTGAGGAGGAACTTCAGTCTCAATATGTTGTAACTTGTAAGTTCCTTTCCTAATTTTCCTTCATTAACAACATCATATTAATGGAGTGGGCTTATGAAGACTTTGTATTCTACGTAGTTCTTACTAAATTTTCTTATATAATCTTGAAATATTTAGCTACATGGATTCTCCACTTTCCTTTTCAATACCAGTTTTGTAACATTTGTAGTGCCTTTTCATCTCTAAATAATAATGAAAGTTTCTATAGCATTTAACAAGTTTCTATAGGATTTAACCTGCAAGGTTTTTCTATCACTTATCAATATTTGTTATTTATCATCGTTCAGGTTCAAGCTTTATCGCGGTTTACATAAGGAAAGTTAATGACGATGCTGATTCTGCTGGTACAAGGAGTTGAGGACAGTTGCACTCATTGAAGCTGGTGTTACTGGTTTACTAGGTTTTGAAGAAGAAGACGAAGAAGACACGTAGGTTTTAGATTTTAAAAAAAATTAATTGCCAATGCAGACTTTTTGTTAAGGGGTTAATGAAGTTAACGGTGAGAGATTTAAATAAGACTGATAGATAAAATTAAGAATTTAAACCGAACAGAGTCAGGTATTATTTACTTTAATATTTTAAATTGGTGATCAAAATCAGTCAAATTAAAAATAAAAGGGACTATTCGTACGGTTTACCCTAAATAAATCCCTCTTAACTTTTAAGTCGCGGCAAAAGCTGCAACGGAATATTCTTCTCTGATGTTTGGAAGCTGGAAGTAGAGGAGGGTGGTTGCTGTGAGTAGGGTGATGAATCTCCAAGGGGCTTTGCACATTTCTTGTGGAGGAAAAATCGACACTCCTCGCAGTCGTAGCTCGAACCAATAATTTTTTTTCACAGTCAGCACAATCATAAGTGGTGATGTTTAGTGTCTTCGTTAAATAGCAGTGAGTGATGACGACTCATGTGGTGAACCGCAAACTTTGATTAAAGCCAACATTTGTATTACCGATTAAATGAAAATACTAATAAAGAGGAAAAAGAAGACACACGTCGAAAATGACAGGATGGGCACAATTAAGAGCATGGTGAAGGCGCAGAAGACTTTTGTTCACGTATTTAACTATGTTGTTAGGTAGCACAATGATAAACGATGAATATTACGAGTATCACCTTATTTAAATTACAAGATACATCACTCATGAAGCACTTATCGGTAAACCAGTTCAAACCAAAAGTAAAATCACGTTACCAACATCATATGTATAGCGAAAGCAAAATAATTAAAAACAATATTATTTAAAACCAGCAATGGAAAGGTGCATGACAAAGTGTGATTGAACCTGACATTGGACGACACGCTTGTTTAATCCGTCCTAGGCTGTTTTGAGTCCGGCAATGTGCCCATCCACGACGGAGGGAGCATTCCAGTTTGCTCGTGAACCGTCTTAAACAACGGCGGCAGCATCCGATAAACACCAGCAACCTCCTTCATTGCACTGCTACCATTACCATCAATTGCTTCTCCACTGCCGTTAGTCCAAATGCTAATCCTTGGCTGAAGTCCTCGCACAGCTTCAGCGTTGATCTTAGCAATCTCTTGGAACATTCCACCATTGATCATTAAGTAATCCCTCAGGGCTGCATAATTGCCTCCCAATGCGTCTAAAAGTGTTCGTAGATAAACACCTTGGGCTTGTGCCAGTGCCATCAGCCCTTCCGCTTCTTTCTGCTTCGCGTACAGTTCTACATCGGCAACCCTCTGACGACCATAAAATGTTGCATCTGCAGTGGCCTTTTGCGCCGCAGCTTCTTTTTCCTTCTCATACAATATCGCCTCTGCTTGTTTCTGTTTTTGGTACAACTCCCAATTTGCTTCTTGCACCTGCAGTTTCAAAGGATCAAAAGCAAATGGTATATATTGGATAAGAAACTCTGGGTTCGAGCAGATGCATCTGCATGGTGTATGTTGTTTACCTTGGTATCGTACTCAACACTTGCTTGGCTAAGAAACTCAGCCTTGAGCTTCTCCGTCCTGGTCAAAGCGTTCATCCTCTCCACCTCCCTTTGCAACTCAGCTTCCCTCAATGCAACGGCTTTGGACGCTTCCACCTCCGCCACTTGCGCTTCCTTAGCCCAGCCCGCCTTCTTCTTTGCCAAATCTGCATTTGCCTCAGCTAACTCAGCTTCCCTTTGGTTCTCATAACTTTCACCTCAGTCTTCACCCTTATCCTCCTCTTCCCCTCTCCCTGCTGCGTGGATATAACTTCGTGTCCGCATCGATTTTCGCAGCGTTTTGAAGCGTTTGCCCCTCCCTCAGCTTGGACCCGATCTCCCCCTTCATTTTGGCCTCCGCCACATCCACTTTGGCCTGATTAGCAGCTTCCATTTGAGTCTTTTGACCCAAGTAAGAAAAATACTCGTGTCCAGGCACATCCACAAGCTGCTTAACATTAGCGTTGTAAATCAGTAGTCCGAACTGGTTGAGCTCAAGCTGGACTTTCTCGAAAACCTCGAGTTTTGAACTCTTTGGTTCCTTTGAAAATCTCCTCATGGTCATGGAAGCAGCAAGGACCCTTGTTTCACCTTCAATGATACCTTGTACAAGCTCTTTAACATGGTTAGAGAGCTTGTCATGGGGAGAGATAAGCTTGGCATACTTGAGGAGGCTGGCCTCATCGTCGACTCGGGACCAACTGTGAAGACCGCCGGGAGGACGAAAGGGAGCTTCTCGGCGCTCATGGCTTGGACTTCGAAGGTGTAGTTTACCGGGGAGAGGTCGAAGACGGTGAAGACTGACCGGGAAGTATCCATGCTTCTTGGCAAGCTTTATGTCCGGGATGCCTATGCCTGTAATGACCAGATATTCTGATGCATTTGCTACCTTATACATCTTTCTTGTTTTCACTCAAAGTACTAGTAATATGAAGGGACCGGAAGAACACATACATATATATATATTGCAAAATAATAATAATTAAAATATAAACCCAAACATGTAGATATTAAAATTTTGCAGTGTCGATAACATGAATATGAATTTGATAGGAATTTTCCACTCTTCCAGGAAAGTGTAGTGGATATTCTCAATGAAAAGAGAAACACGTTACTCTACTTTGCTCGGCGTTTTCCGTTGACATTAAATATGCTATTAGTACATCACCCAAAGAAATTCCATTGATATTATCAACAACTGTTATATAAAAGTATAAACTACATATTTACTCATTCAACTAGTGCTGCAGTTCCTTTTTGGTTACCAACTATTTAGCTTTTGGTGAAAATGTCACGTCACTCATTTTTATTCTATTTTGATCACCCGTTGTTAAAAAATAAAACAGAATTGTTGACTTGATTATTTTTTCAATGATGACGTGTTTACCTTATGGTAACACATCAGCATAACCGTTAATTTTTTAACGATGGATGATCAAACCAGAATCAAAACATAACCTTAGGTGTGATTTTGAAAAAATAATAATAATAATTGGTTGACCAAAACAAAACTATGAAAATAGTTGAATGACTAAATATATGTAATTACCCTATAAAAATAGTTTGTTGTGATAATATAAAATAATAAATTATTCAAATAAATTTAAATCTTATTTAAATTTTGATACCTTTAATAAAATAATTTTAATTAGAAAGATTGTTTTATAATAAATTTATAATATTAAATTTAAATTAATCCATTTATAAATGAAATATTAATAATTTTAAGAATTACAAAATTATTACATTATTATTATATATGAATATATACCATCATACAGCTAGCAAATAGATTTTTAAATTTGGTTTGTATTATTTAATTATTTGTCCATCGTTTACTTTGAAAAATTCAGTAACTCAAACAACATTTCCTTAACATTTTCCTAAGAAAACCA